TTCAAGAATTTTTGGTTTTTGAGTAACATTGATATTTGTACACACTGCCTTTAGATTTCGTCCCTCTGTGTATAAATTTATCATAGACTCACACAGATTTTCCACTCCAATGGAATTCACAGCTCAGTTTCTTAGATTACACTGTCTTCTTACGTTTATTATTATTTAAAAATATCTAAGATTCTTAGATACGAAATTTTATCCTTGGGGATTTTGTTTTCTCCACAAAAACGAATGACTAAACACTAACGAAGGCAATGAGAAATGAGTAAAATATATTTGAGATGATGGAGGGGAAAATGATTAAAATTATATGTATGAGGGGATGTCAAGTTGGCCAAAAAAGACAATTACTCTTTAGTTAACGTTTAAGTTTTATTATGCATTACTATTTACAAAATATTTATAAGATTAAATGAATACCATTTCATGTCTTTATTATCCGCGTCGTCTTACTCGTCTCTAAATTCAAATATATATCATTACAGAAGAAAAATAAATACCAATACACATTGCCAAATAAGCACTCTAGCTTAATCAATAGAAGTACAACATAACTTTCAACAATACAACTTCGTAAATATTGATGACTAATAAATTTTTTTAAAAAATGTGAAACAATAAACACATGCATTGCACCAACACCAGTGCCTAAAAATGAATATAAACAAAACATACAAACATATTAAACTGAAATAAAGTTTTATATTACTCTCTAAATATTAGTTCAAAAATTCATATACGATATTTTTGTATTTATTTGATGTGCTTTCTATTTATCTTTTATTGCACTTACTTTTCTGTTTTTATTCTTGTTTCAATTCCGCTATTTAGAAATTAGAAAGAGGGGGCGAGGCGTGAGAGGTAAAAATTATTTTATTTGTTCAACACCACTGCTTGGCTTCTTGACTATTTGACGCCGAACCTCCCAGTTCCGAATGACGATGTTCATCGAGTCCAGTCAACACGAGGTGTTGGTCCAATGCATTGGAGCAGGTGGTCACCATCCATTCTGGCATGGCCGCTGAGTGGGCAGGCCTCGTTAGCAGCCAGGCCAAGCCAGTGGAGGTATACTCCCAAAAAGTCATGTCCGGTGGTTAGGCGAAAGCGGGCAATAACCTCGGCTCTCTCCAAGTGCCTCGGAATTGGACCCACAGTGGCCAGAGTTTCTCATGGCTTTCCAAGGCTCTTGGTCTTTTGGGTCACGATAGTATATTTGTCAATGGATGAGAAAATAATGCTCTCTGCTCCTCTGAGAGTCAAGGGGACTTCCGGCTGGAATGACTCGACTTTCTGCTTGGCGTTTTGGTAGGCTCTCTCATTGCCAGGGATCCCAACATGACTTGGGAACCACTGTAAGGCCACAGTCCAGACATATGAGATTAACTCCACAATTTTAGTTCAGCACTGAATTGTGTTAAGGCAGTCAGTTGGTGTATTACTGCTTAAAGCTAAAATTAGCTTTAAGCAGTATGGGAGTCTATGAAGAAGACAACTTTTATAGGAGCTAAGCCAGCAGCTAGTAATTGCGCTGTAGCTTCACAGGCAGCCAAGATTTCGCCATCGTAATTGGTGGTGTTCCTTCCCACGGCCAATGAGCCCTCAAAAAGCTGACAGAACTATCCCGCGCTGGCTCCGTTTGAGGTAAAAATGAAAAGATATCAAAACGTATGGCATTACTTACCAAGATGATTGGAGGTAAAGAAAGAGTGTATACCAAATTCAATTTCAAAATGCTAAACTTTTGGCACTTTCTGGATGAATTTCGACAAAGGAGGTGGCAATTTTTCAACCTTATTACAGTAATAAAGTTTTTGAGATTTTGATTAATACTGTACAGTATAACTTTCAACAAAGGAACAATTTACCGTTTGTATTTGGTTTACACTGCTTGTTATGGCGATATATTGTGATGTATTGGGAAAGTTGATGAGTAGCATAAGATTTAAGGAGTTTTATTGATTTATTACGTCTTCTACAGCAATTAATTACAATATGTACAGTTATACTTAAGTTAATCAAACTATTGTGTGTGAGTGTTTTAATACTAAAAAATACTTTAAGGAGGAGAGCAAAACACAACGTCTCTTTTAAAGCGTTCCAAGCGGTGTACATATGTAATTGTTTTTCGGTTATGAAAGTCAGATGAAAGGTTCCTGTAATATTTTAGGGGTTCATGTGTGAATATGAATGGCGTAATGTTACCAGGGAGGAAAGGCCGATCTATCTGCTACGAGGGGGGGAGTTACAATATGAATCAGGAAGCCACAACGAGAAAGAATAACAATGCAGTGATGCAGAAATTGTTCTTCTTAGGCACTCTTAAGTAAGATGTTTCTTTGCATTTATTTGTAAATATTGTTTTCTTTCCTCTTCCTACTTAAAAAAAACTGTGTATCAACTTCTGTATCCAGACATAACTAATGTGGATAAGACATAGCAAGTAATAAAAAAAAATTAAGTCAATTCCTACTTAGATCAACAAAAAATTTTTTATTTTAGTTACTTTTTATTAAATAGTTACAATTAATATAAATATGTATATACAGATGAGAGAATTACAATATTAAGTGGCAAAATAGAAAGTGATTTTTTTTTGTTTCTTTTATAATTTATTAATTACATTCTCAGAAATTAGGCCATTCCAGGTAGGATTCGAACGCACGACCTTTGGATTAGAAGTTCAACGCGCTATCCATTGAGCTACAGGGACACAACTAACGCTTTTCCTTTCTATATATGCTGTTGGAATATTATTTTTGTTTGTTACTATTTATTCAATTTTTAATTCAATGAATGAATTAATATTTGAAAAAACTGTATAAAAATCAAGTGTCATCCACCACAAGTTTTAAAAAATACATTTGAACTTGAATGGATAGATAGAAAGTATTTTATTAACGATTGAAAATTTGAACAAGATATATATAAGTAGAGAGTGAACTAATAGTAGGAATTGTGAATAAAGAATTGAATCCCATTAGCAGGGGCGTAGCTACAGCCGTATCAATGATACAGGGCTCCCAAGCTACAGGGGTCCAACATGTGTAAGCAAAAAATCGTTAAATGCTAAGGGGCCCCTAAAAAGAACCTCCAAAGAATTTTGATATAAGGCTCACTCAAGACTAGCTACGCCAGTGCCCATTAATTACAGAAAATGATCAATCCAGGGTTTTTCAAACTGTGGGGTGCGCCCCTAGGGGGCGTGATAACTCTACGAGGGGGTCGCGAGAGTACTGAAAAGTCGAAACCAAAAGATTATTTTAAAAAATTATTAATTTACTGAAATAAATTAAACAAGCAAAATACATTCTGACACAATAAAAAATAAAATATACATTTTCACTGAGATAATACACTTATAAATGTATTTTACAATTAATTTAACAACACTAAGTTAAGAACGTTTAATAATTACCAGTGACCCTATGGGCTAAAAAAATGTATAAAATTACATTTAAAAATTAACACATTTATCTTAATAATTTGTAAGGTTCATAATTAATCCCTTTACTGCCGATTTAACCCGGCACTTCTCGCGCAGGGTATGTCATACCCAACGTCTGACTTT